AGTATACCAGTGCAGGGTTTAAGATATTTGTCTTCATTAACTCATTACAAGACCACCCCACCTCACCTCACCCCATCTCACCATTAGTTATAGTAGTATACCAGTACAGGGTTTAAAATATTTGTCTTCATTAACTCATTACAAGACCACCCCACCCCACCTCACCCCATCTCACCCTTGGTTATAGTAGTATACCAGTACAGGGTTTAAGATACTTGTCTTCATTAACTCATTACAAGGCCACCCACCCCACCTCACCCCATCTCACCATTAGTTATAGCAGTATACCAGTACAGGGTTTAAGATATTTGTCTTCATTAACTCATTACAAGACCACCCCACCTCACCTCACCCCATCTCACCATTAGTTATAGTAGTATACCAGTACAGGGTTTAAAATATTTGTCTTCATTAACTCATTACAAGACCACCCCACCCCACCTCATCCCATCTCACCCTTGGTTATAGTAGTATACCAGTACAGGGTTTAAGATATTTGTCTTCATTAACTCATTACAAGGCCACCCTTCCCACCTCACCCCATCTCACCATTAGTTATAGCAGTATACCAGTACAGGGTTTAAAATATTTGTCTTCATTAACTCATTACAAAGCCACCTCACCCCATCTCACCATTAGTTATAGTAGTATACCAGTACAGGGTTTAAGATATTTGTCTTCATTAACTCATTACAAGGCCACCCCACCCCACCTCACCCCATCTCACCATTAGTTATAGTAGTATACCAGTACAGGGTTTAAAATATTTGTCTTCATTAACTCATTACAAGACCACCCCACCCCACCCCACCTCACCTCGTGTCACCATTAGTTATAGTAGTATACCAGTACAGGGTTTAAGATATTTGTCTTCATTAACTCATTACAAGGCCACCCTTCCCACCTCACCCCACCTCACCTCGTGTCACCATTAGTTATAGTAGTATACCAGTACAGGGTTTAAGATATTTGTCTTTATTAACACATTACAAGGCCACCCTTCCCACCTCACCCATCTCACCATTAGTTATAGTAGTATACCAGTACAGGGTTTAAAATATTTGTCTTCATTAACTCATTACAAGGCCACCCCACCCCACCTCACCCCATCTCACCATTAGTTATAGTAGTATACCAGTACAGGGTTTAAGATATTTGTCTTCATTAACTCATTACAAGGCCACCCCACCCCACCTCACCCCATCTCACCATTAGTTATAGTAGTATACCAGTACAGGGTTTAAAATATTTGTCTTCATTAACTCATTACAAGACCACCCCCCCACCCCACCTCATCCCATCTCACCCATTAGTTATAGTAGTATACCAGTACAGGGTTTAAGATATTTGTCTTCATTAACTCATTACAAGGCCACCCTTCCCACCTCACCCCATCTCACCATTAGTTATAGTAGTATACCAGTACAGGGTTTAAAATATTTGTCTTCATTAACTCATTACAAAGCCACCTCACCCCATCTCACCATTAGTTATAGTAGTATACCAGTACAGGGTTTAAGATATTTGTCTTCATTAACTCATTACAAGGCCACCCCACCCCACCTCACCCCATCTCACCATTAGTTATAGTAGTATACCAGTACAGGGTTTAAAATATTTGTCTTCATTAACTCATTACAAGACCACCCCACCCCACCCCACCTCACCTCGTGTCACCATTAGTTATAGTAGTATACCAGTACAGGGTTTAAGATATTTGTCTTCATTAACTCATTACAAGGCCACCCTTCCCACCTCACCCCACCTCACCTCGTGTCACCATTAGTTATAGTAGTATACCAGTACAGGGTTTAAGATATTTGTCTTTATTAACACATTACAAGGCCACCCCACCTCACCCATCTCACCATTAGTTATAGTAGTATACCAGTACAGAGTTTAAAATATTTGTCTTCATTAACTCATTACAAAGCCACCTCACCCCATCTCACCATTAGTTATAGTAGTATACCAGTACAGGGTTTAAGATATTTGTCTTCATTAACTCATTACAAGGCCACCCCACCCCACCTCACCCCATCTCACCATTAGTTATAGTAGTATACCAGTACAGGGTTTAAAATATTTGTCTTCATTAACTCATTACAAGACCACCCCACCCCACCCCACCTCACCTCGTGTCACCATTAGTTATAGTAGTATACCAGTACAGGGTTTAAGATATTTGTCTTCATTAACTCATTACAAGGCCACCCTTCCCACCTCACCCCATCTCACCATTAGTTATAGTAGTATACCAGTACAGGGTTTAAGATATTTGTCTTCATTAACTCATTACAAGGCCACCCCACCCCACCTCACCCCATCTCACCATTAGTTATAGTACTATACCAGTACATGGTGTAAGATATTTGTCTTCATTAACTCATTACAAGGCCACCCCACCCCACCTCACCCCATCTCACCATTAGTTATAGTAGTATACCAGTACAGGGGTTTAAAATATTTGTCTTCATTAACTCATTACAAGACCACCCCACCCCACCCCACCCCACCTCACCTCGTGGTCACCATTAGTTATAGTAGTATACCAGTACAGGGTTTAAGATATTTGTCTTTATTAACACATTACAAGGCCACCCCACCTCACCCATCTCACCATTAGTTATAGTAGTATACCAGTACAGAGTTTAAAATATTTGTCTTCATTAACTCATTACAAAAGCCACCTCACCCCATCTCACCATTAGTTATAGTAGTATACCAGTACAGGGTTTAAGATATTTGTCTTCATTAACTCATTACAAGGCCACCCCACCCCACCTCACCCCATCTCACCATTAGTTATAGTAGTATACCAGTACAGGGTTTAAAATATTTGTCTTCATTAACTCATTACAAGACCACCCCACCCCCCACCTCACCCCGTGTCACCATTAGTTATAGTAGTATACCAGTACAGGGTTTAAGATATTTGTCTTCATTAACTCATTACAAGGCCACCCTTCCCACCTCACCCCATCTCACCATTAGTTATAGTAGTATACCAGTACAGGGTTTAAGATATTTGTCTTCATTAACTCATTACAAGGCCACCCCACCCCACCTCACCCCATCTCACCATTAGTTATAGTACTATACCAGTACATGGTGTAAGATATTTGTCTTTATTGACACATTACAAGGCCACCCCACCCAAAATCCTCACCCCATCTCACCATTAGTTATAGTAGTATACCAGTGCAGGGTTTAAGATATTTGTCTTCATTAACTCATTACAAGACCACCCCACCTCACCTCACCCCATCTCACCATTAGTTATAGTAGTATACCAGTACAGGGTTTAAAATATTTGTCTTCATTAACTCATTACAAGACCACCCCACCCCACCTCACCCCATCTCACCCTTGGTTATAGTAGTATACCAGTACAGGGTTTAAGATACTTGTCTTCATTAACTCATTACAAGGCCACCCACCCCACCTCACCCCATCTCACCATTAGTTATAGTAGTATACCAGTACAGGGTTTAAGATATTTGTCTTCATTAACTCATTACAAGACCACCCCACCCCACCTCACCCCATCTCACCATTAGTTATAGTAGTATACCAGTACAGGGTTTAAAATATTTGTCTTCATTAACTCATTACAAGACCACCCCACCCCACCCTCATCCCATCTCACCATTAGTTATAGTAGTATACCAGTACAGGGTTTAAGATATTTGTCTTCATTAACTCATTACAAGGCCACCCCACCCCACCTCACCCCATCTCACCATTAGTTATATAGTATACCAGTACAGGGTTTAAAATATTTGTCTTCATTAACTCATTACAAGGCCACCCCACCCCACCTCACCCCATCTCACCATTAGTTATAGTAGTATACCAGTACAGGGTTTAAGATATTTGTCTTCATTAACTCATTACAAGGCCACCCCACCCCACCTCACCCCATCTCACCATTAGTTATAGTAGTATACCAGTACAGGGTTTAAAATATTTGTCTTCATTAACTCATTACAAGACCACCCCACCCACCCCACCTCACCTCGTGTCACCATTAGTTATAGTAGTATACCAGTACAGGGTTTAAGATATTTGTCTTCATTAACTCATTACAAGGCCACCCTTCCCACCTCACCCCATCTCACCATTAGTTATAGTAGTATACCAGTACAGGGTTTAAGATATTTGTCTTCATTAACTCATTACAAGGCCACCCCACCCCACCTCACCCCATCTCACCATTAGTTATAGTAGTATACCAGTACAGGGTTTAAGATATTTGTCTTCATTAACTCATTACAAGACCACCCCACCTCACCTCACCCCATCTCACCATTAGTTATAGTAGTATACCAGTACAGGGTTTAAAATATTTGTCTTCATTAACTCATTACAAGACCACCCCACCCCACCTCACCCCATTTCACCCTTGGTTATAGTAGTATACCAGTACAGGGTTTAAGATATTTGTCTTCATTAACTCATTACAAGGCCACCCACCCCACCTCACCCCATCTCACCATTAGTTATAGCAGTATACCAGTACAGGGTTTAAAATATTTGTCTTCATTAACTCATTACAAAGGCCACCTCACCTCACCCATCTCACCATTAGTTATAGTAGTATACCAATACAGGGTTTAAGATATTTGTCTTTATTAACTCATTACAAAGGTGAGCTTCAGTTCCTTAGTTGCTGAAAACAGTACTCACTTCAGGCCAAGGCCACCCCACCCCACCTCACCCATCTCACCATTAGTTATAGTACTATACCAATACAGGGTTTAAGATATTTGTCTTTATTAACTCATTACAAAGGTGAGCTTCAGTTCCTTAGTTGCTGAAAACAGTACTCACCTCAGGCCAAGGCCACCCCACCCCATCTCACCCATCTCACCATTAGTTATAGTACTATACCAATACAGGGTTTAAGATATTTGTCTTTATTAACTCATTACAAAGGTGAGCTTCAGTTCCTTAGTTGCTGAAAGCAGTACTCACCTTCACCTCCTTTATTACTCTAGGTGTCACGAGGCTACAGAAGGTGCGGAGCAGACTTTACGGTGGCAGCGTCTCGACGCAGTGTGGCGCATGTTCCACAACGCTTACAGCAACTCGGTGGTTATCCGGCCAGGGGCAGAGGCTGGCAGTGGTGCAATATCCACTCTCTTGGAGAAAGTAGGAATCAAATCAGGGAAATCTAACTCTGTTGTTTAATGCTGTCGCTTGCAGTTTTGTCAGTTGTCATAGTAACGATTCTCACATGTATACACTATCAGGGGTCACTGTCGACACCTCGGATATCAAGCCTACCAATGAACACTCACAGACTGCAGCAAAAAACTGTCACAAGACTTCAGTGCACAAGGAATCACCAACATACAACAATAGGAACATAACCAATTACTTAAAAACAGCATTATAAATCTGAGAACACATTGCTGGAAACATGGGAAGAGCAGTGCACAAACATGCTGACCATAACCTTGACCAAATAAGTGATTATGATCAGGCTCTCCTCTGCCAACCCTCAGTGTGAAACACGTGCTGGAAGAAATCTTTGGTGCGACTGGACACTCACATACATTTAGTGTTCTATGTTAGTGCTCTAACTGACCTCACTGTGGATCCTAGAGACATGACAGTCCATTCCTGCTTGTGCTGCTCCTGCCGAGTTCGGAACATTGGTCCGTGTGTCTGTGAGGGGTTTCCATGTTTTCAGGGGTAGTGTCAGATTTATAGTGATGTTTCACAATCGTAGACTTGGATGTGAACATGGTCATAAAGATTGTATTATAACCACAACATTTTAGAATCAGTGCTATTGTACTCAAACTATTAGAGTAAGGTATAGTTGGGCGGTGTAGTGCTTCATGTATTGACTAGTCAGGCCACAGTTTGGGTTTGATTCTCGGTGTGGGTAAAATGTATGAATGTTTCTGGTGTTCCCCACAGTGCGAATGTTGCTAAACTCAACATAAATCTTACACACTCACTGATAAGGGTGAGTGTGGTATGCTGAGTACATGGGTAGGAGAAGATAAAAATCTTATTGTAAACCCATCCAGCCCACTGGTTGTATGATTCCAAGGGAGCTGAGATTCAGTCTGAAACCAGATCTGTTGACAGATCCCTTAACTCTGTCACAAAGGTCATCATGATGGGACTATTGTATTTCCTGCAATAAGCGTCCTAAAGCTTAGTAAATTGACAAATTGAAGAAAATACTCACATAGAAAATGTCAGAGATTAAGCCATCAAGGATAGTATAAGAAATCCGAACTTTTCCCACACTCCTGTCTGTCATGCTAAAGTTCAAGCAAATACTGATGTAAATGTGTGGTACTCATTCTTACAAAGGTTCCTCATATGTTGTTCTAGAAGTTGGTCAAGGGGGCTTGATATAGATAATAGGATACTAAACTCGCTTCCGTGTAATACCATTTTTATTAAACGAGTTAATGATTTGGTATCCAACGAGCGAGCGGGTTGGATACTAAATCTTTCACGAGTTTAATAAAAATAGTATTTCACAGAAGCAAGTTTAGTATTCTGTTTATTACTCTCCAACATAAATTGATAGAAACTGCCTATGGTGTGATGACTCTCAGCTTTCCGTGAGTCAAGCAAGGTCTAAAACCATTGTGACAGAGGTATTAGCATTGTGACGTCATAACTGTAACCATTATGATGTCATACATCTAGCGGTATTACACTAGTGTAATATTGGAGTGAAAATATTACACTGCAATATCTTACAGGGGCGAGCAATAAACAGCAAATACGGTATAAGGCAAAGTTTTGTGTATCGAAGGTCTTCCTGATTCTGTGACGACAATGACCCCTATCTATGCTGAGACTTGCTCAGGCAATATAAGATGTTTTCAGGGTCCAAATAGTGCTATGGTTTGTTATTGTTGAATTTATTTTCTTGAAAGGGAAAGATGTTGAACATGTGAAAACTCTCCCCATATATTTGATTTGATGAACACAGTCAACTCACTCATGAAGATCTGGGTTCGAATCGGTCTTCAGCAAACCATGCTTGTCGTAAGAGCTGACCAACGGGATCGAGTTTGGTTGATACATGTCATTGTATCCCATTTGTGTAGATTGATACTGATAAAGTTAATGACAGATTGTCAGATCCAGAATTGAATATCTACACCTGTATCATGTACATGGAACTTTGCCAATCTAAATATTGGTGGGGTAGCCTAGTGGTTAAAGCGTTGACTTGGCACGCCGACGACCTGGGTTCGATTCCCCACATGGGCACAATGTGTGAAGCCTATTTCCGGTGTCCCCCGCTGTGATATTGCTGGAATATTTCTAAAAGCGGCGTTAAACCACTCACTCACTCATTAAATATTGGTGGGATCTTGCTGATGTGTACCTTGTATTGTAAAGCTGACAGCTATAGCTAGTGGTTTTTCTGCATATACAGCTGTAGAACTGTCTAGTTTAGTTCCTGATATTGATATGCATAAAGTTCTAATTTGACCAGTATGTTAGAATGTTAGTATCTATTGTTTTGAGAGATAAAATGTTCTTAAAGTAAGTAACTTACAATTACACTGATGTACCAGCTTGATATTCATGATGTCAATCACTGGATAGTGTGGTTCAGACCTCAGTTATACACAACTGTCATATATCTGTAATATTGCCAAATGATGCATTATACGGTTGATAATAATGCCTAGAGGTGTTGAGAACATACACTTTTTAAAATGGTTAAGATCAGGATTAGTCTTGAACCTGATGCATCAATATTCAGAATGTGAATAATTTTTTCTAAAATTGTACGTTTCCACAACCATTCCAATTGTATTCTCAACTACAGAATTGTTTTTCCTGTTTTGTCCTTTCACCATTTCCTTCCTCTGTAGCTGGGCATATAGAGATAAAAAATACAATAACACAATGGTGGGATTTAGTGGTTATATTGAAATAGAAGCTTTCCTGCCTTCTTTCCATCTTCAGCCACTATCATGTTATGAGCTCTGTAAACTGACAAGCAGGACACCATATAAGCCAGTCTTGTATCATAATCATCAGTATAATATAACACTATGTAAACACTTGAAACGGACTGCTCTACTCAGGATAGCATGTATAATCCCCTGAAATATGCCTAAAGTCCTGTTTTGGAGAAAATATTAACTGTAACGTGAATATTGTCACCACAGCCTTCATGTGAATGGTAAACAATGAGTTGTCTTGAAATATTTCTATGGAGTGCGTTGGTATGTTTTACCAATTGGAGAATAATTACTTTTGGAGAAATTAAAATGAAAACGAAATGGGAAAAAAATCTAGGGAAGATGTAAAAATGTTTTTGATAAAATATTTTTCCTGAAACCAGTGGACTATATTTTCAGGCATATTATGTTGACAATAAGTCCTTATTTGAGTTGGCTCGTGGCATTGTGAGGGCAGTATTGGGGACCTTATTCTCTTCAAGAAACTTATCGGCTATAATATCAGCCGCCATATTTCTCTGGTGTAGATACAGTCCTTCGATATTGAGCCCCATTAAGAACAAAGAATCGACAGTCTTAGAAGGTTGGATAGAAATTGAAACCATAACATTGGGGAAACACAATTGCAGGGACCTTTGCTCCTTAATTTCTAAAACAGTCAGATTTCAAGAAAAATTCATCCCTTTCATAAAGCTTCTGACAACTGATGTTAAATGGTGTTATCCACCAGCTTATATTTACAGCTATAATGAAGATGCTCTTACCCACTAGCTGATATTTTAATGAGAGGGTACTCTACTGTTACCCACTCGCTGATATTTACAGGCTTTTACATTGCTATGATCCAACAGCTGATATTAGCAGCTGCACATGCAGTACTTAATGCTGTTATCTCCAGCTGATATTAATGCTGTGATAAAAATGGCATTATTTACCAGCTGATATTTAAAGCTGCAAGTACAATACTGTATCCACCAGCTGATGTTTACAGCTTCAAGTACAAAGCTATAATCCACCCGCTGATATCAACAGCTGTGCACACAGTGCTGTTATCCACCAGCTGCAAGTACAATACCGTACCCACCAGCTGATGTTTACAGCTTCAAGTACAACTGATAGCTGTTCGTGCAATGCTGTTATCCACCAGCTTTGAGCTATCAGTATAATGCTGTTATCCACCAGTCCATTCTTAGAGCTATGAGTATAATGCTGTTATTCACCAGCTTCGAGCTATGAGTACAATGCTGTTATCCACCAGTTCATTCTCAGAGCTATGAGTATAATGCTGCGATTCACCAGCTATTGTTTACTATACATCTCAGGCCAATCACTGTTATAAGCCACTGAATCTACCTTTTTGACAGAATATTTAATTCTAAAAATATTTTTAACATTATCATCTGTGATACTTGGTATTCATAGCCAAAGGAGAGGTTGGATGTTTTATTGATGTATATATTATTTATATGTGCTCAAAATGGGTTAGGGATCAATAATTGTCAGACATGTTGCAAGAACTGTGTCCGTGTTGTGGTTAATATAGAAACTGGTAGATATATAAAGAAACCAAAAAACTCAAGATTGTGTGAAATGTGTTCCTGTAACTATGTTGAAAATGAGTACCACTTTTTACTGATTTGTACTGCCTATGATGATCTACGTAAACGTTATATCCCTGTCGATGTTTTCACCTATCCAACCTTGTGTAAATTTAATCGACTGATGAGTAATGCTACTTCTCTGGTTTTAAGAAATCATGCCTTGTTTATCTTCTCTGCTAACAATCGTCGTCGCTACAGCTTGAAGGCTGCCAATGTATAACGTTGTACCATGGGCCGATGGCCTACATTCACATGAATAAAGACTATACTATATAATGTATATCTGAAAACATGTATTCAAATGTATTGGTCATTATTATTCCGATAGTTGTGAGATGTATACATATTGATTGAAAGAAAATAATGAAATATGCAGCTAAATATGATGTTATTATTGCTACATGTATGTAATAACATATTGAGGAGCCAGAATTCATTGTTAAGAGCTGCATTTCTAGCTCTAGGTTTTGTCAAAATCTATACCACGATTTACATTGGCATTCTACAGAAAGCATGATTGGAAAAGTACTGAACCAGAAAAGAATACTATCTAAGTGAGTTAAAAACAATGTCTATAAATTATATTCTGATCGTATGCTCAAGCTAGAACTGGTACCAAAGTAAACTCATAGTTTCATTGATTGTTAAAACTGAATTGCATGAAGCAAGATATATATAATTATTGATCCTTAACTTATTTTGTCTGATTTAATCTTAATGTGATGTGTTTTATTTGTACAGATGTATATTGACTTAGTTCTACTGATAACAGAAATATGAGACGATAGCTTTATGATGAAAACAGTTGTTGGATGTATTGAATGTCATTATCACATAATGCTGATAGGGTTAAGTCCATTGGAGGGGGGTGGCGTGGTAGCCTAATGGTTAAAGCATTTGCTTGTCATGCTGAAGACCCGTGTTGGATTCCCCACATGGGTTCAATGTGTGAAGCCCATTTGTGGTGTCCCCTCCGTGATATTGCTGGAATATTGCTAGCGGTGGTGTGAAACTATACTTGCTCACTCCTCGGAGACCTTCATATGGAGTTTTGTCTTGTTCCTCTGAAGCTGAAAGATCATCAAGAAGGTGTAAAGGTCAGTGATGCCTAGTCTAGAAGCATGCACCCAAGCATACAAGTCATTCTGGTCCAGAGGTTCTAAAACAACACTATGCTTTAGGGGTGAAATGGTACGCTCTTACCACGGTACGGTACATATTGTGGTACAACTACAAGGCCTTCAGTTCGGTTCATTTTGGTTCGGTACAAGAGAACTTACTTCCGAGAAAATAGCGGCCGTCTGGCAAAGAAATGCATAGATTTTGACAATATGATTCGATTTCTAGACATTTTAGAAAAGGTTTTAAAAGGTTAATAAATGACGGTACGAAAACCAAAAATACCGAACTTTTGGATTGCATTACGGTATCCCAAACCGAAAGCAAAATACCGCGGTTCTACTAATACCGTGGTATACCATTTCACCCCTACTATGCTTTGCAAGTCTTATCTATGTGTTCAGGATTAGATTGTCTTGCATACAACCTAGCGATTATGTGTGCTTATGGCCTTGTTTTTGTAGTGTAGGCAGATACAGCCATCAAGATTGTAATTATGCCCAGTTAAACAAATTTATTTACATTCTGTTGGTTTTTACTTAATTTTATATTTTGTCTCATAATAATATTCAAGATGGTGTTATACTCATGTTTGTCCACACCTCCTAGCCTCTTGTTGTGAACAAGGGCTGTCAGTCTGTCTACCTGCCCATAGTAGTCTCTGTGTTTGAAACAGTCTGATATTTGGACTATGTCAAATGTCAGTCACTGAAAATTTGAACTAAACTATTTAGAAATTCCGGTTATTATTTATTATCATAACCAGTATGAAAATAACAAGGGGATATAATGTGGGAAGGACGTTTTTTCACAGGACGGTAGTGTGGTGGTTGATGTAGGACATAGGTTATGCTGAGTGGGTCTCTGACACCCACTTGTGTTTAATTTGCCATACAAGCCTGTGTTGAACCAGTTGAATGTGACATCTATTCACCTCTCTATACATTGGCTAAACTCTTGCAGTGATGCTCTGGCTTGGGTTACAATAATGACCAAATTATGGATAACAACTTCTTTTATTTTGTGACTGCAACATTTTGGTACCGTTGTCTAGGAACAGTACTAGTGAGTGAAGTCTGTTATAGTGGTACAACTGTTTTGTAGGATGGCACGCTGGTCACAAGGAGTTATTATTGTTTCAGACACCTAACATGAACCTCTCATAAATATGAATTTATTTCCATCAAACTTTCTAAGAAATGAGGGATGGTGGGCTAGCCATGGTTAAGGCGTTCGCTTATCATGCTGAAGACCTGGGTTCAGTTCCCCAGATGGGCACAATGAGTGAAGCCCATATTTGGTGTCCCCTCCATGATATCTTGAATATTGCCAAAAGCAGCGTAAAACTAAACTCAGTCACTGGAAGCAATGAGTCACCTTGTTGTTGTGTACAGTACTGCACTGGAGTAGGCCTGCAAGGTCAGGAAGTCATTATCAGTGTTTCCAGGGAAATCTACTGTGTTTCCATAAAAGTGGTCAATTCCAGGAACTTAAGGACATATGTTAGATGAAATTTGTTAACAAATGATAAACATTTCTTTAAATTATAATTAATGTAATCGAAATTTCATAAAATTATTTAACTTTTTACTTATAAATGACTTTTCTTTAATTTATTATCAATGAACTTGAAATTTGATAAATTGTTTTACGTTTTACTTCTCTGTTAAAGATACGATATTTTCATTGTCTGGTTTGTCATCAACACAAAACAAACAAGTAGCATATTGTCTATTCTCCACCAGTTTCCTAGACCCCACATGTGGTACCTTGTCAACCAAACCACTAAGTAGCTGTTGTATTCTACTCCAGTTGAGATAATAGAACATCAGCTCAATGTAAATTATGTAAATATAACTGTAAATATGAAGTTTCAGTCCTTGATTCATTGCAAATAAATAAATGTTATCTTAAATACTTTTGATTTATGTTTTTTTTGTCAATTTTGTTTTCAGGGGAGATGAAAATGATTAAGCCACTGCTTGTAAGTCTGGAGAGATGTGTCTCTAGGAGTGAGAATGGAGGAGTAGCCGTGTGGTTAAAGTGCTTGCTTGCCAGGCTATAGACCTGGGTGCCGATCTTAGCGCTAAGGTATCGTAACTCCCATACCTTAACACAGACATAAGGTAGTCTTAGAGCTAAGGTATCGTAACTCCCATACCTTAACACAGACCTAAGGTAGTCTTAGCGCTAAGGTGACCGTAACTCCCATACCTTAACACAGACCTAAGGTAGTCTTAGCACTAAGGTGACCGTAACTCCCATACCTTAACACAGACCTAAGGTAGTCTTAGCTAAGGTGACCGTAACTCCCATACCTTAACACAGACCTAAGGTAGTCTTAGCACTAAGGTGACCGTAACTCCCATACCTTAACACAGACCTAAGGTAGTCTTAGCACTAAGGTATCGACTTAAGGTAGTCTTAGCACTAAGGTGACCGTAACTCCCATACCTTAACACAGACCTAAGGTAGTCTTAGCGCTAAGGTATGGTAACTCCCATACCTTAACACAGACCTAAGGTAGTCTTAGCACTAAGGTTGTTTTGTACAGCAGCACCCTGTGCTACAACAACAGCCCACCAACTAGTCTCTCGTACAGACCCTGAAGCAAATATATCCAAGAAAGCCCACACAAGTCTAGAAAATGTGGCAAGTCTAGATTTCCTCAGCTTCATTGTGAAAATGAAGAAAGTCTCAGGGCTCCTTTTCATTATATAAAAAAAAAATTTACTATGAACTTTTTCAGTAAAATATGTTCATTTCAGAGACTAGTTGTTAGTCTACCCACCAACCTTCTGTAATGATTACTACAATATTGCAGCTCAGCTTCAACACATCACTTTAGTATGTGTTTTCGTGTGTGCGTGCGTGAGTGAGTGAGTTAGTTTTACGCTGCACTCAACAATAATCCAGCTATATGGCGGCGGTATGTAAATAATCGTGTCTGGACCAGACAATCCAGTGATCAATAGCATGAACATTGATCTGCGCAATTGGGAACCGATGTCATGTGTCATCCAAGTCAGGAGCCTGACCACCGATCCCATGAGTCGCCTCTTACAACAAGCATTGGTTGCTGAAGACCAATTCTAACCCGGATCTGCACGTGTCTGTGTGTCTGTGCGTGCGTGCTTACAGCCGAGCACACAAAGCGGGGTAACAATAACTACAATCTGTTACTCTCTTGCTTTTTTCACGATGGGGGAACGATGACACGCCCTAAAAGAACAATCAGAACGATGCTCCCGACGCTCTTCCCTCGAACACGGAAGGGGCGGTGGGGTAGCCTAGTGGTTAAAGCGTCCGCTCGTCACGCCGAAGACCCGAGTTCGATTCCCCACACGGGTACAATGTGTGAAGCCCATTTCTGGTGTCCCTAACCCTAACCCCGCCGTGATATTGCTGGAATAGCTAAAAGCGGCGTAAAACCACTCACTCACACACTCACTCGAACACGGAAACGTCGCACGTACTTTTCAGCAACTGTATGTCCATTCAACACGTTTGACAATTCAAATATCAGAAATATCACGTTCAACAGCTAGTATTAGTTTCAAAGACATACATTCAGTGTGCGAAATAGTATTCAAGTTTTGCTAGCCAGTCGGACTAGTTATGCCTGAAAGTTACTAGCCCACAAATATTTCACTAGCCCAAAATTGAAATGTAGAAACTAAGCAAAAGATTACAAAAATATAGATGAGAATAACATATTGTTGGCATGACACGGGTTTCTCAACTAAGCTGTTAATACGAACATTTTCATCAGGCCATATTGCATGATTGAAAACTTAGTCCACCAATATTGATTTACTTCAACTTAACAAGTCTGAGAGAGTGATATATTTACAAAATGAAAATTCAATAGCCAGTCGGGACACTGACTGTGGAGATGTACTGGCCCGACTGGATGTTTACTAGCAACGGGCTAGCAGGCCATGCAGTGGCTATTTCGCACACTGTATACACTAGCTTTGTAAACCAAGATCGTACAGTCAGGTGTGAATACAGGCTTGTAAAACCCAAATCACTCACTCACTCACTTCTCCCCGTGTTGTACATACTGTCAACTGTAATATATTTATCAAGTACACTTGGAAAGGATACGCGCCAAGTACAAGGTATTTAAATATCAAGTATTATACGCGTGTTACTTGTTAAACAGATTGTATTGGCGGTATGATGATCCGATCCGATAGACATGGTATCACGATATGATAAATAGGTATCCCAACAGAAATTGCAAAAACACAACCAAATTACCATGCTTGATTAAGCTTTAATAACAACTTTTAATCATGATAAAATAAAAATGTGAAGAATATTTGGCACAAATGAAAAAAGGAAATACCCGAAGATTTCCGAGTGTTACGAAGTTTTCCGATTGCAAGTCAAAATACCGGTTTTCGATCAGCGTATCGCAATACGTATCGTTTTCATGTCAGAACCGATAAATACCGGTAAACCGGTTATATTGCGCAGCCCTACTTCAAATCACTGCGGTCTAATTGACAGGCTGTCCGAAAACACGGAGTTTCATCAGTGACATTATTTGAAAATCCCCTACGTGTGTTTCCGCACGGTGAATATCATATACAGTTAAATACCATTGTGTCGAACTCAGTGTTGCCTCGAAGGAAAACGTGGTCCCTTTCATAGGCGGAACCAGAAAGGCGGGGGTGCAGGGGTACAGGGGTGCAGGGGTGCGCACCCCCGCTTTTTTGTGCTGAAAGTTTGTTAAATTACCATTGACACTCGGGTAACACACACACACACGCACGCACGCACGCACGCACGCACGCACGCACACACGCACACACACACACACACACACACACACACACTCCCTCCCTCTCTCAATCTCTCAAAAAGCTGCATCCTCCCCTGCCTTTGTTCTGAAAACATATTGTCATCACGAAGAGAGTTTTTAAGGATGTCAACTTTTTTATTATGAAGAACACAACGTTTCGGGAAATCAATCACCCGATGAAGGAGGAAGGATATAATCCGAAACGTTGTGTTACTCATAATAAACAAGTAGACATCCATAAAAAAAACTCTTCCTTATGTGTATCACTTCTAAATGACACTCAAAGACCTGTATAGTCATCAGTTTGCGTGTGTGCCGATCCCTGTATAACACGAAGTGATTTAGGTTGTAATTCGGGTGGTGTTGGTTGTGGGTCATGAAAAAATGACAGTTCTATTTTTATACAAGTAGACTGTACTCTTCAACATTATTTAGTGACTGGCCATGTATTATGTTTTGGGGTCGATCATGTACATATCCTAGATCATGTACTTCAGTGATTTCTGTTTGGAGGAACCACAAAAAAGGGGTACAATGAAAGACGAATTTGGGTGGTGGGGGGTGGTGTTGGTGGTGTTTTGTTTTATTTGCACTGAGCATTGATATATACGCAACTTGGATATGATGACATGTGTCAACAGAGTCAGCGAGCCTGACCACCCAATCCAGTTGTCTCTTACGACAAGCATGGGTTTCTCAAGACCAGTTCTAGTTCTGTGGGGTTCTATTGCCCACATGGGTTCAATGTGTGAAGCCCAGTTCCGGTTTCCCCCGCCGTGATATTGCTGAAATATTGCTAAAACTCACTCACTCAACACCAGTTCTAACCCGGATCTTCACGGCGAATGGGGTTCGTAGATTACCATGCCGTTCTATGAACGGTCCGTTCCCTCCCTTAAAAATAAATAACTGTAGCTGTAAAATGTCTCGTTTCCAATTGAAGTAAACCATTGAAATCCGCACAAGGGCCACTTGATGTCAAATCATGAAGACCTGAAGACATGACATTACACACTTCCATCACATCCATTCAGTCAAACCTTTACCAAAAGCTATGAGACCAAGAAAATATTATGTTAACGTAAACGTAGACGGGTTTTTTTATTGAGAAAGAAGTATCTGAAGATCGGGAAGATCAGGGTTCGAATCGGTCTTCAGCAAAACCTGCTTGCCGTAAGGGCCGACTGACGGGATCGGGTGGTCCTGCTTGATGACCAATATCCTTATATTGACTGACTGACTGACTGACTGGCTGCCGTAAGGGTCGACTGACGGGATCGGGTGGTCCTGCTTGATGACCACTATCCTAATATAGACTGACTGACTGACTGACTGACTGGCTGCCGTAAGGGTCGACTGACGGGATCGGGTGGTCCTGCTTGATGACCAATATCCTTATATTTACTGACTGACTGACTGACTGGCTGCCGTAAGGGTCGACTGACGGGATCGGGTGGTCCTGCTTGATGACCAATATCCTAATATTGACTGACTGACTGACTGACTGGCTGCCGTAAGGGCCGACTGACGGGATCGTGTGGTCAGGCTGGCTCACTTGGTTGACAGTAACTTGACACATGTCATCGTATCCCAATATTGCGTAGATGGAGGCTCATGCTGTTGATGCTAGCGGATTCATCCCAGATGCTGATCATACAAAACTGGCCATGTGGTTTTTTCTCTGAGTGCGGTGCGAACACCAACTGAATCAATCATAATCTACAGGTCTGAAATCCACTTTTCCGCATACTGTAAATAACCGCGATATCTCCTGATAGATTATTGAATATATTTGCGTTTGGTAAACAAGCCTTATCGACTAATAGCTAGATATTTCCCTGTACGCTTATGTAACTTTCAACAACGTGCAGCTTGAGGCGTATGGTATTGTCACACAGAGGTCAAATCCGGCTACATTCCCACTGTCCACATGTACATAATTCATTAGTTATAGTGTTCCGTGTTGAAGCGGTCGCTCTGTGTGTGTGACAGAGCTCCATACTGGTGACGGGAGATCACGAATCTGTGGTACAAACACTGAAGTCCGATAGGTAAGGATAGTTCGTGTAAAGTGTCCAGTGAGTGAGTGAGTGAGTGGGTGAGTGAGTGAGTGGGTGAGTGAGTGGGTGAGTGTCAACACAAAGCAGCAATTGTTGGTGTTCATTCTAGGACACAGATCGTCAGTTTGTAGTGACTGCCGTCGTGGATATAGAGGAAGTTAACATGGTATGGGCAGACTGAGCGAGTATGGTTTTAAGCTGCGTTTTATGATTTCATCAGAGTGAGTGTGTTTAATTTAGTTTTTGCAATATTCCAGCAATATCACGGCAGGACTTCACACATTGTACCCGAGGGCATCAGAAATGACCTTCAAAACTTGTACCCAACTGACTGACTGGCTGTATTGGTGTGCTTTGGTTTGGTTGTTGCTTAATGCTGCACTCACCAGTATTCCAGCTACAGGGCGGCGGTCTGCACCAGACAATCCAGTGGTCAGCAGCATGAACATTGATCTACGCAACCAGCCGGTCCCGTTAGTCGCCTCTTACGACACGCATGGGGTACTGAAGACCAGCTCTAGCCTTGATCACCACGGGTCCGCTGGCGTGAATCGATGTTCAATCATTGGATTGTGTGCTCCAGGTTCTAATAATTGCACGTGACACGTGTCATTGTATCCTAGTTGCGTAGATCGATGCTCATGCTGCTGATCACTGGGTTGTTTGGTCCAGACTCGTTTATTTACAGACCGCCGCCATGTAGCTGAAACATTGCTTGGTGCGGCGTTAAACAAACAACCAGTCAACCAACCAACCAACCAGCCAGCCAACCAACCAACCGTATCTGTTTCAGAGAGTGTCATGGGGACGGAGGTCAAGGCTATTGTTGTAGGCGACGCTGGATGTGGAAAGTCGTGCCTAGTTCTCCAGTTCTTAAAGGGGCAGTACATTACGAGCGACCAAGAGGAATCCTCCTTTGAGACTGGCACGGCCAGCGTCTTTGTTCAAGGGTAGAAGGTTTGTGGGCATGTGACGCATAAAAACATGCAATACACTACGGAACCAATGTGTTTCGTTATAACCGTAGTTCTTTATACCCGTATTTCGTTATACCCGTAGTTTGTTGTCCCCGTAGTTCGTTATACTCGTAGTTTGTTGTACCCGTAGTTCGTTATACTCGTAGTTCTTTATACCCGTAGTTCGTTATACCCGTAGTTCTTTATCCCCGTAGTTCGTTATACCGGTAGTTCGTTGTACCCGTTGTTCATTATAACCGCTGTTCGTTATACCCACAGTTCGTTATACCCACAGTTCGTTATACCGGTAGTTCGTTGTACCCGTTGTTCGTTATACTCGTAGTTCGTTAAACTCGTAGTTCGCTATACCCGCAGTTCGTTATACCCGTAGTTCGTTATACTCGTAGTTCGTTATACGCATTTCGATTAAGACATACAGCATGTTGTCGGGACATAAAGTCAGTTGGTTATAATAGTATTTTTACAGTCTGTATGATGATTATTATCATTATGGAAAGTCTGGGTTTCAAACCAATTTATAGAGGATCCTCTTTTTTCTCATATTCCAGCAATATCCAATCCAAAATGGGTTTCACAAATTAAATATTTAGGGAATCAAATCCGGGTTTTCGCGTGACGAGCGAACGCTTTAACCACAAGACTACCCCATAGTACCTGGTTAAATACACAAACGCCACCACTGTAAAGGGTTTCAATATTTGTATTGTGATATAGAGTTGTCAGATGCTGATCGTACCCATATGTATAACTTTATTCAGTAGAAAGGCCACAGACCCATGTACAATTACTATTTTCAATTTGAAAAAGGCGTTTGAGAGAAGTTCTATCTTTACAGTCAATATTTACATATATTTTGTTCTTAAATCATTATAAGTGGGCAGATAAACATAAAATGAACCCAATCTCCTAATTCTCTTGGGACATTATTTCTTCTTCCTGCATTCTTCATGATATTGGATTCACCTCATCTTAAAAGTAATAAAAACCTTCTTAAATCTTTGTTGCATAAAGTTGACAAATATGATTCCATATTAAACGTACTTTTGACACATGAATAGAACTCTAAATTAGAATGTTCATTATCATAAATATCCACAATGTTACAATCTTTTACTCGTTGAGAAAAATGCTTAGATAAATCAGTGGTAACAATATTTAGAAAATCCCACGCATAGCCAAAACCAAAAGCATACTTTAATTCCTTCACTTCAGTAACCCATGACTTCCGGTTATTATCGTCCATTCTTTTTAACATAATATATGATTGTTTTGGATATTTAGTCTCTTCCATAATTATTAATTTCACCAATACTTATTATGGAATCACAACAAATATAATGACGACCGCATTCACATAAAACAGATGCATTTGTTGTGTTAAGACTGAACATATTTACAGTATTTTACATGAAATCTTTCTAGCATTATCCATTCATGAAACCCCCCTATTTCTGAGCAATATAATAAGATAGGCTTAATTTGTGAATCAAACATTTGAAATAAGACAGTAGGAGAAAGATTTTTAAATTTATGATGAAGCTGTTTAATTGGAAGAAGAGCTTTATTAGCTTTATGAACGAGAGTCTGGACTGATTTTGACCAAGATTATCTGCTGGAACAAAAAATACCCAAATAGCTGTAATACCTTGCAGTTTTAAACTTCACATAGTTAAACATCCATTTTTCGGGCTTCTTTAATATTCCTCCGTTGCGAAAAACAATTATCTCTGTTTTTTATTTTTGTAAAATTAACCTTTAAGTCTCATTTTGTGCATGCAACCTATAACTGTGTTAGAAAATATACATAAATCATCAGCATAAAATCATAAAAGATAAAAGCTCTAAGAATTCTGCTCCAACAAAAATACCTCTTTCGTCAGACGATGGAAGAGCCTCTTCGAGTTGTTTTACAAACATACTGAATAATAATGGACTGAGTATACACATTTGGCGTACACCACTCAAGGAATTGAAATATTCTGAAATACTACAGCTTGATAGTTTTACAGCTGCAATTGATTCAATGTACATATCACGCACCATTGAAAGCATTTTACCTGGAATATTGGTTTGAGCAAGAACATACCATAGATCTCTATTTACACAATCGTCCCTTTTCATATTTCACAGGTAGAGTTGATGGTTTGTGACACCGGCGGCAGCAGCATGTTCGACAGCCTGCGCCAACTGTCCTACAACGACGGGGACGTGATTGTCATGTGCTACTCCGTCACTGACCGTGAATCGTTGCAGAATGTGTCGGAAAAATGGCGGCCAGAGATGATGGACAACGTCACCTCTGATCGTCCCATCATCCTCGTGGCAACGAAGACGGACCTTCGAGACTCCGACCTCTCTTTCAGCAACGTCCGTGGCAGCCGCTTTCTTCACCAGTCGCCCGTGACCACCCTCGAGGGTCAAGAGATGAAAACAGTGGTTGACGCCGTGGATTTTTTAGAATGCACGGCGAAACATGACGTCGGCGTACGTGAGGTGTTTCAGAGAGTGGCCGAGGTTGGTTTGGAGTCTAGTAGGTCACGGCGAAAGAAGTTTTGTCGACAGTCATGATGGACGGTCTGTGAGCGGCACCGGTGTACACAGAATATAGATTGACAAGAGGATTACTGCTTTGGACAAAGAATGAACAATCTGCAAACTGTATCATGTTTGAATAAAAAATGAATTATGTTACACTATCTTAGGTCACGTGTTAAGTGTCCAAGGTTTCTTAATACAGCAGATAGCTTAAAGGTCCATGCACTATGATGAGTTCGAAATGAAAAAAAAAATTCAAACAAGCAAAAAGAAAAAAACCAAAACTTTAGTTCGGACGACCTTCGTTGTGTTAAAGTACAAACCTATCTAGTAAATAAGTTCAAGCAAGAAGAGAACATCACTCCAAAATGAATGAGACTATGGAAATGTCACCTTTAAGCAAAAAATATTCATTTTTTTCGCCGTGTTTATTTGATTTAAAATTTCCAATTTGCTATACTGTATGTGGGCAGTTGGTTAGCCTAGTGGTTAAAGTGTTCGATCGTGACGTCGAAGGCCTAGGTTCGATTCCGTCATAGTTACCATATGTGGAGCCGGTTTCTAGCGTCGCTCTCCATGGTATTTCTGGAACTTGCTAAAAGAGGCGTAAACCTCAACTCACTTATCACATTCAGCTGCAATGTTGTGATCACATTCAGCTGCAATGTTGTGTATCGGTGACATATGCTTACGTTTAATTGTCGAGGTGACTTGATAGTTTGCTTAAATTATATACGACTCGACGTTACACCTGTTGTTTGTCATCCGTGAAGGTCCGGGTTAGAATTGATCTTCAGCTTGCCGTAAGAGGCGACTCAAAGGATCGGGTGGTCAGGCTCGCTGGCTTGGTTGACACATGTCATCACATCCCACTTGTGCAGATCGATGCTCATGCTGATCACTGGATTGTCTGGTCCAGACTCGATTATTTACCGACCGCCGCCATATAGCTGGAAAAACTCACTCCTGTTGTTTCTGAACATTCACACATGCATGTGGCTGAGAGAGGACAACGCTTTCTCTCCTCTAATGGGTCGTTCCTAATTTATGGCTAGGGGTAGATGATGAAGATTCCCCATATGGTACAATGTGTGAAGCCCATTTCTGGTGTCCCCCACCGTGGTATTGCTGGAATATTGCTAACAGCGGCGTAAACCCAACTTACTCACTCACTCGAACGATGTGCTAACGTTATTTTGTTGTCATCGTGGACCTTGCACTGGATTATCCGGTCGACCTTCACTGCGGCGAACATATAGGTTGTTCATTGTATATTGCTGAATGCGATGTATAATGGCAGTTAGTCTCAGAAGGAAGATGATGTTATTTCCAAATATATCTCAAGAAAAATACAAACACAATATCTGAAATGGTGACCTTGAACAACGGTAGATCTGTCTTCGGGTTAATCAAGACCTGCCCAGTCACCCTAGGCTTGATCTGGACTCCTTTTCAGTGTAGAGACAGACCAAATGCGGTTAATAAACCAAAATGATCTCACATCATTGTGTTTCGAAAGCTCCAAATAACCATGACGTTGCGTGATAAAAAAGTTGGAAGTTATGAAGTTTTGTTGATAATCCCTACATACATTTTGTTTAATCAAAACAGAGAACCTCAATGAATTACTCGTATTCATTTAAATCATTTATTGCCACGAGACCAAATTGACACCTATCAAGTTCTTTTTCACACACACACCCAACCCCCAAAAACAACAACAACAACAACCCAAAAAAAAAAATAAAAATAAAAAAATAAATAAAAAACAAAAACAAAAAACAACAACAACAAAAATAAAAATTAAAATAAATAAATAAAAAAAATAAATAAAATAAAACAACAACAGGGGGCCTTGGTCTAATTTGCCGTTCTATTGAACATGGGATGTTTGAAAGACAGGTGTTTCCACGTAGAGGACGTGCCACCATCTTTAAAGCTCAGTTGTGGAGTTTAGATCCTAATATGACCAAACGACACTATTTTAGAAGTAAGGGGATTAACTCGAAATGCAGTTGTAAGGGATACCCGGGTTGGGTCAGGTCGGGTAATGCTACATTGGGTACCCGAGTTGGGTCGGGTAATGCTACCTTGGACACCAAGGTTGGGTCGTGTAATACTACATTGGGTACCCGGAATAGGTCGGGTAATGCTACCTTAGGTACCCGTGTTGGGTCGTTTAATGTTACCTTGGGTATCTGGTTCGGTAGGGTAATGCTACCTTGGGTACATGGGTAGGGTCGGGTAATGCTACCTCGGGTACCTGGGGTGGGTCGGGTAATACTACCTTGGGTACCCGGGTCGGGTAATGCTAACTTGGGTACCAGGTTAAGTCGGGTACGGCTACGTCAGGTGCTGGGGTGGGTCAGGTAATACTACCTTGGGTACCCGGTTGAATTTGGTCGGGTAATGCCACCTTGGTTACCGGGTTGGGTCGGGTAATACTACTCCAGGTGCCGGGGTGGATCGGGTAATGCTACCTCGGGTGTTGGGGTGGGTCGGGTAATACTACCTTGGGTCCCCGGATTGGGTCGGGTCGGGTAATGCCACCTTGGGTACCTTGGTCGGGTCGGGTAATGCTACCTTGGGTACCCGAGTTGGGTCGGGCAATGCTACCTTGGGTACCCGGGTTGGTTTGGGCAATGCTACTTTGGGTACCCGAGTTGGGTCGGGCAATGCTACCTTGGATACCGGGCTGGTTGGGTAACTGGATTGGGTCAGTAATGCTAAGTTGGGTACCCGGGCCCAACATTTCTACCCCTTCCAGCCAAATAACAAACAACAGTTGTCGCGATGGTGACCAACTCTCAACAACTAGAACGAAATACAGTGTGTGAACTTCAGTACCGAGATACGTGTCGACAACTGGCAACAATACGAGTTCCGAGGCGAGGTAGATCCTGTCGTTGTACAGGCAGCTTTTGCGACGACAACGTTAGCACGCGGTGATGTCACTTCCGTCTTCACTGTTGCTGGATGAACCCGATACATCAACTGACATATTCTACGAGAGACCCGTTGAAGCAACTGTAAAGGTAAATAGCATATAATAACTCTGGCTGGATATACATGATGTTACAAAATGCCACCTTCAATATACATATTACTAGAAGTAACTCTCTACACATTGTATTTTCCATGTATGGTTCTGTCTTGGTATCATTGTATATAGCAGTTTATCATGTATCCCAATTATTGTTAAAGAAAACGAAAAAAATATGTAATTCCTTAATTATGTAAATGCGAATATATCATTCTATCTGCATTCTCGGGAGGTTATAGATGATATGAAATAGTAATTTGGAGTACTTTATCAAAATACATTTTAAGAAGATGAAGTTCCTGGTAATAGTGTTAATTGTTAGATATATGTATGTAATAGGCATGGTACATGAGATCAAGGGGAACCATGATCGATAGCACTCGACTACTACTACTACTATTACTCCTACTGCTTCTACTGCTACTACTACTACTACTGCTGCTGCTCCTACTACTACCGCTGCTGCTGCTGCCACTACTACTACTACTACTACTACTACTACTACTACTGCTGCTGCTGCCACTACTACTACTACTACTACTACCGTAGCCTGATTGAGTTGGAAAATTAAGAATACCTGAGTAGTTATTAACTAAAGTTCGCTCACAAATAAAATAAAACAATAATTTGAAACCGAACTGCAGTGAACTTCACCCTAGGTCTGGTGTCTGGTCCTGTGTAGATGTCGCACAGGATGTTAACTGTCGTTCAGGAAACAGCACTCCCACCAGTGTGGGTATATACTTCCCCTTTGTATCGCATCGGGACGGCTGTCATCAGTTGTATTGTTCGATGAGTGAAGCTCTCTCTGTGTGTTTGTAAACTAGTCCAGTAAATAAGAGAACGGGTGAGATTCCTTCCAGAACCTGGTTACAGAATTCCTACTCCATCCAGATAAATCGTCGCCATGGAAGCATTTCAGAAATTAAAATATTCTGAAAATTCCTATTTGATGGCGTAAGTTCAAGTGCAAATACCAGGGCAGTTTGAAAAAAAGATACTGCCAAGTATTTTCCGAAATTTTGCTATGCGTACACGGTAAATTTCTCAATTGTTGATTGTACATCGATAACAGTACTGTGCGACAGTTGTTTTTATTTGGCAGTTTTAGAGAAAATATTCGCGAACAAAATACTGACTGATATATGAACGATATAAATGTATGTCAAACAGATTTGTATGCTTATGTATAACGTTATACAATACATTCACGATAATAGATGTCTTGCCATAAATGACGATGATTGCTTTGCTTCTGTGACGTGAAAAGACGACAGAGGCACATGCACTAAGATAAGGGGCATAACTCCACTGTGTCTAGCACTGTCATTGTCACTCCAAATGGCCGTACCATCGACTGAATGCGTGGTATATCTCGCCGAGGCGGCTAGCTGCTCATGTTTTCAGTTACCAGTTCTCTCACCACTATGATAGCATTGTGGTATTGCTGACTAGCCTAGTGGTTAATGCGTTCGCTCGTCATGCCAGACCCGGTTCGATTCCCGACATGGGTACAAAATGTGAATCGGTTGTCCGGTGTTTTCCGCAGTGATATTGATGAGATATTGCCACATACGTGGCGTAAAACTCAATGACTGTTGGGTAAATAACATTTGATCCTTCTTTTCGAAGACTGAACCAGTTTTGTATTTGTTCAAGCCAGCCTCCACTTCGAGATGCCAGCTCGCAACATCCACGCCCTCATCTACGGCCAGACGGGATCAGGGGTGACAACTCTCATTAAGCGCTGGGTGAGCGGCCGGCTGCCCACCTCCATGGAAGAACTCGCTCTGCCCTATAATGGAGTCAAAAACATAAACATCCAGCTGGCAGGACAAAAGACGTCGGTGAGATCTTGACACTAATAATATATTTATTCCATTACTACTTTTAAGGGACGGTGGGGTATCCCAGTGGTTAAAGCGTTAAAGCGAAGACCCGCGTTCGATTTCCCTCTATACATTTGATTTGTTGATTTGTTTGTTGTTTAACGCCGCACTTAGCATTATTCCAGCTGTATGTTGCGGTCTGTGAAAAATCGAATCTGGACCACACAATCCAGTGATCAACATTATGAGTATCGATCTACGCAATTGGGATCCGATGACATATGTCAACCAAGTCAATGAGATTGACCACCCAAATCCCGTTAGTCGCAAGACTAATTCTAACCCGGACCTTCACGGGTTGTTCAAAAGGTTGTATAATCAGCAGAAGAAATAACAGGCACAGTGTATTGATAAATTTAAACATGAATTTTTCAGGTCACTTCCTTTAAACTTTTGCACCATCATGTCTTCATATTTCAGACTGAAAATGAGTTATGCTTATTTCTAACCCGGCTAACCTACATATGAGTGAGGGACATACTAGCAGGAGCACCCTTTACGGTGTTAGCACTACTCATTCTGATATATGGGGTTCGTAACAAAGGGCCTCGTAGACATTTGAAACCTGCAACACCGGCCTTTATTCAACCAAGTTGTTGACACGCCATGATATAACTGGACAACTTACTCACTCACTTTGAAGGTGGATTCACCATCGGAAATTGTTATGAAAGGTATAACTTTAAAATAACGCTCTACACTCCTGTAACAATAGCATCATGTGTAGGGTTTCATGTAGGTTCACATCCATCAAATACTTGCTATTATATTTTTGAAATGGAACTTTTTCGGATTTCTCCTTGGTTTTGTCGTTTGTTGTATTATTAAGCAAGGAAAAGTCTCATATCGAAAGGTTATTACTTGTAATGTCAAATTTGCGAGGCGCCTTTTCGCTTCGAACAGTGAACAGTCTCCAATCGACTGAAGAATCTAACATATCCTTTTCTGTTTAAGGAGGTTGCCATGGTGACACTTGTAGACGGGGGTGTGTTCCGTGGTGACGAGGAAGGTCTGAGAAGAATCTGTGGAAAAGTTGACGTCATTGTCGCATGCACCTGTGTCCAGGTTGATGACACCGGCTTACCTGGCATACAGCACATCAACAAGCTGCTGGGTGCACGAAGACCGCCAGTCATCGTCCTTGGGACAATGTCGGACTTGCGTGATGAAGCGAGTGATACGTTACCACTCCTTACTGCGATAGCTTGTAGTAATGATGTGGAAAAGCCCCAGGAGGTGATGGAGGAGATGGGGAAGGGTTCACGTGACGCACCCTCGTCTGGATACCCTGAACTGTCAGAGGAACCAAGGAGGGTGGGTCAGCACAGAAACGGAAAGAAACCCGGTCCGGATCAAACTCCGTCTGTCACGTCGGAACATTCTATTGATGTAGAAGTGTTTGAGGAACAGACTCCTCTGTTGCTGGTGTCAACACGACACGGTCGTCAGGACCAAAGTATCGAGAGGAACAGCACGAAGGAGCAGGATGTTCCTGAAGGAGAAACACACTCATTGATGCCCGGTCAGTTTCAAGTCACAGTTAATATAGAGAATCCTCACCTTCAGAAGGTAGACATTGGTGGGTCGAAAGCTCTGGAGCAAGGTGTCCCGGAAACAAATGAAAAGGTGCATTTCAGTGAAAAGGACTCATTCCCAATCATGCCTGAATCTGATGATAATGAAGAGACAAGTGTGATTCTGAATGAAAGCAGTTTGTCGAGTAAACTGGAATTAACCATAGAGAATCTTAAAAGGCACAGCATAAAGAACGATGACCCGGGACCGGAAATATGTTCAATTGAAGATGACTGTTCCGCTGCGCAGGAGCGGCTTTTGCTGTCAGACGGGGAGGCGAGTGACGTCACTGGATCGGACAGACGGATGGCATCGCCCACTGATCTCGAGTTTGATAACATAGAGCATGATTTGTCGTTTTTGAGCAGGGAATTGATGAACATCTCATCCCATCGAATGAACCCTCACTACTGGTCGACGGAATCCATCAACGGATCTGTTGGGTCATATCTGGACCGCTCCAGAGACGAGATCAGTGTGCCGGGCCCGGCCCATAACAGACCACTGAGACAAAAGAAGCACGCTGCTGATCTTGCTCCATGTTCCACTCAACCTTTACACCAACTGGACCGCTCAAGCTCAAGCCATAAAGATGTGATAGGTGACGAAGTAAACCATTCATCAAAATCCAACACATCACCTATCAAACCCTTGTTAGAAACCCACTTCCCAGCCAGTTCTGATTCATCGTTCACAGTCAAGTATTTCCCATGTACCCAGAATTCAAACGCCACGATTTCCTCCTCGACAGACTGTTCCCAAACATCGCTGCACAACAACAACTCGTGGACAGACAATACCGGTAAATCGGGTAAGTGTGATGACTGTATTGCCAATGGAGCTGAAAGCACGTCTACTACCTCCGCGTTGCGTCATGGGGAGGTTTCCACATCGTCCTCTTCGTCGTTACCGGAAGTGAAGAACCTTCACATCAGCCTTGACCTTGCTCCCGTGAAACTGATTGGCCCTTATCCAGGCAAGGCTCTACTGAGGGGGGTTAACAGTGGTTGGTTTCTGAGTATGGAGGATGGAACTCGCTGTGTTAAGAATCTCCGGGGGGAGCGGTACATGGAGTGTTCTGCCCTGTCAGGGGACAATTTACATCAGGTGTTTGAATACATGGTCAGGGCAGGATGTAAATATAACAGGAGAAGGAACGCTAAGTGTTTGATATCATGATACAGCACAATCATCCATCTGCATGATGGGTGAATGAGGTACTGGGCTTGGGCAGATTGGCAGCCCAAACAACTATGACTGAAGTCGTTCAATAATTGCCTTCTTTGACTGTGTAATTGTGTAAGTGTAACACAGTAATGGCTTATTATAGCTTGAAAATACTTAGTAAAAAAGGTTCCCGGAATGAAGAGAGACGTGGTTCGTAATTCCCCGAGGCGAATGTATATTACTGACACAACATCTGATTTTATAGAGACAAATATTTGGATGATGTGTCTTTCACTCGGTGGAGTCTATTAACTTATGTCAGACAGTGTTGGAAGCAAACCTGTCCTTATTTGGCCTGATTGATGACAATATGTAGCGAGCCTCAGATACCTCCATTACGTCAAATTGTAACTATCAGTACTCACAACACTACAAGTGGTTTTAAAGTTCTGTTTTCATGTCCATTAAACAAATCTGTAAATCAAACCTGTGAAAAGAGAGACAGTATGGAAGAAGTTGGGAACTGTACCATATGAGCTCAGAGATATAGATGACACAGTGTTCATGAGTTGTCGTTCCAGTCATTATTTTCACTCCTCTGAATGCGTCTCTGGATTATTAAAATGTTTATCAACAATCTAGTCTTTATGTCATATCATTTCTGGACAAGTGAATGTCAATTTATGGATGCTTGTAGAAACAAATTATTATACGGGTCACGTGTGAACGACGTTATATATGTCGTGAAATAAATCGACTCCCTGTCGTGTCTACATATGGTACATATGTAGAACAACATCTGGGGTTGTTATTTTCCGCCGCACAGTATTCCAACTATTTGACGGCAATCTGTAAATAATCGAACCTGGACCATACAATCCAGTGATTAATATCATATAAGCACCGATTGCGCAAATGGATACAATAGACATTGTAGACAAGACACTGACCACCCAATCTCACGCCAAGCTACGGGTTGTTGAAGACCAGTCCTGACCCGAATCTTCACGGGGGCTTTGTACAGGATGCGTGAATGCAGTGTATACAGTATCAAGTGTGACCAGGTAACTATTGCCAGGTGACAGTGACAAATCACGCGTCTTCAGTAACCCATGCTTGTCGTAACGGGATCGGGTGGTCAGGCTCGCTGACTTGGTTGACACGTCATCGTATCCCACTTGTGTAGATTGATGCTTATGATGTTGACCACTCGATTGTCTAGTCCAGACTGGATCATTTACAGACCCCCGCCACATGATTTAAATATTGGTGAGTGCGGCGTAAAACAACAAATAAAACAAATCACGCCATTATACGATCAGTTTACTTTTCTGCTTTTCAAAATGGTATGGCACAGTTTGAATAAACACAACTAATGTATATTTATGGAAACAGTAATACTGAAGTACATTTTCGAGAAATGTTTTTCTCATTTTCACATATTGTAAGCGGTAGCACGCATTGTCCCCTTCATCGGTCGTAGTATCATTTTCTATAAGACAAACATCTTGGGGTCGTGTTTTAAAATTTAGGATTTAATGATTTACCCCAGTCAGACAAATGGGGAATACATTTGATTTCTAAAACGAAGGCATTTGTCTACAATCGAATGCCAGCTATAGAAAGATAGTGTCGCGGATATGGTAAGAAATGTATCTGATAAAACATGTGAAAATCAGCTTTAAAAATGTACGAAAGGTATGTCTAAAAATAGTTACCATACATAAGGTTTAGCTTTGATAGTTGTTGGTGGGGTAGCCCAGTGGTTTAAGCGTTCGCTCGTCATGCCGAAGAAGTTCAATTCCCCACATGGGTACAATATGTGAAGCCCATTTCTGATGTGCTCAGCCGTGATATAGCTGGAATAGTGCTAAAAGCGGCGTAAAACCATACTCACTCACTCACCCACTTTAATATTCGTGAAGGTCATGTATTTCTTTCACCCCATCAGTTAAGTGTCCACTTTAAAAAAATGTAGTTTGGTCGACCATTTAAAATGTATTTGAGGGACACATCCATGTATTCAAACATAAACCAAGTACATTGAACCCAACAAAGGAAATGATTTATTCATACTAACCGCTTTATCCTAGGAAGACATAATACGCATTCCTGACCCACACACTGTGGTAACAAAAAACCCCACGCCTTTCACTGTCCCGTTTGTTTGAATCACCTGTGCTATTCTCGATGGATCTGCTTTCTGACCAAACCACGCACATGACTAGAAATATGTGTGACGTATAAACCATACAAACCTTTGTTCAGATGAAGCAGTGGGATTGTGACGTCTGAATAGAGCAGCCAACCCTGTGTCGATGTGACGTCATAGCAGTCATTGAACGGGCTTTGGTGTGTATAGCTACTATTGACATGTGTGGGCATAAAGGGAAGTAACTCTCAATATCTGAGGTATGAGCTGGCCAACTATTCTAGAAGTGATGGTTACTCATCTTTTGTATCTTTGAACTTCACTGCACATCAAACCTATCCTGTCATTATCCGTGATTACATTGGTTGATGATACAACCCATATAACCACAATTAATTAGTAGAATTTGATTTAGTTTTTGATAAATGTGAAGCGGGGAATATATAATATATTTGACTGTCGACTTATGTGAATGTCTGAAATTTCAACAAGAGTGAGTTAGTTTAGATTTACGCCGCTTTTAGCCCCATTCCAGCAATAAAACGGCGGGGGACACCAGAAATGGGTTACACACGTTGTACCCATGTTGGGAATCCGTCTTCAGCGTGACGAGCGAACGCTTTGACCACTAGACTACCCCACCGCTCCGAATTGCAACAAGAAGAGGAAAATGAATGCAAAGGATTTTATGCCGACCTTGTGATAATAACATAATAATTTAAGCATTGGTGTTGAGATAGTGCCACATGATACACATCTGTTGTTGACTTAGTCAGTTGGTATGCACCAGGCAAAATTCTATCAGCTTTCATGAGGATGGGGCCCTGTAGAATAACATCTCTGAAATCAATATATTTTGCAGAAAATATACAGTTAATTTATCTGAATGAAATACAATGAACGAAGGCAGGATAATGTCTTAATTTCCCCGAAACTGCTGTAATCTAGACCTGCCAAATATTTAAGCATGCAGGTATTGTATTGAATGTATTACTTCACGGCCTGTATATATAAAAAACTAGGGCCTCGCAAAATTACTCTGATTTTATGTAAACGTTCATATATAAAGCATTTACATACACGACGTAATGATAGAGCAGCGCCTAACCTTATCACAGTCCATTGTGTTGAGGTGTAGGAAGGCAGAATACAAGGATACAGCGTGTCGTCGGAAACCTAGACTAATGCTTAGTCTCTGAATATATATAATTTTGATCGTAACAAACAAGCCCATTTAAATTTAACAGAAGCCCTAGGGAGACCAGAGATTCAGAACCTGAGGGAATCTAGACTTGCTTTATTTAGGGCTTCAGCACTGCAGAGACGGGTTGGCAGTAGGTGAAATAATGTGGTTCAGGGACTGTGAGACAGACTATCGGAAACCCTCAACGCGCGTGTCATCAATGTGCTGATCATCCATGCATTTTCACTTGAGCTCCACAAGGCGATCTTAGCCCAACTAGTCATAGGCGGATCCAGACATTTTCAAAGGTGAGTTGCGGAACCCCTTGAACCCCCTCTTGGCTCCGCCAATGCAGAACGTTAACGTCTATGTGGTCTTTAAATAGTCATTTTCAGAGGGGATGTTTTGTGTGTGTGTGTGTGTGTGTGTGTGTGTGTGTGTGTGTGTGTTGTGTGTGCGTGTTGGTGTTGGAGGGTCGAACCCCTGACACCCCCCACCCAGCCAATGATAGTCGTAGACTCGTACGTCTGTGTTTAAGTACGACAGTTACGATAGTCGTAGACTCGTACATCTGTGTTTAAGTACGAGAGTTACGATAATCATAGTTTGTGAATCGCGGCCCTGTTCAGTTGGGGCTTTATGAACTTACGGTTCCTCCGAATATACGTAATTTAGTAAATGTTACACCATCAAAGCACAAAAGAATACGTTTAAGAACCCCATTATTGTGTATAATTGAATGATTACTCTTCCAAATATGCGCTCATCTATTTATCGCTCATCTTACTTTGTGTAGAAAACATAAAATCACTTAAATGTTTTTAATATTTCAAATCAACTTTCGCTTTCTAAGATTATTTTTATCCCCTACCATTGACCCGTCTTAAAGATATATCCTGCACATCAGAATAGTATATGGCAATAGTTAACTAGGTTACTTTGCCTTGTTGTGGACTATTGTACGTAATTCAACCGCCGCACACCAGCTTTGCCCTCTAACCTCGCCAGCCCATTGTTTACTCGACCCTGGAGGCCAACACGTAACAAAACAACAGTGGGCAGACGACAGCTACAGTTCCAAGGGAGGTAACTCTAACTCAGGTTTGATTTCTAAAAATAGCAGAACGTGTTTCCGTTTTCGACCAATCGGTGAGTTCAGTTTTGTGCTATATTTAGCAACAGGCAATCCACCTATATATACGGTCCAAGGCCTCGCCTCATGTTCAGAACGAATCTGTACATAGGTAGCGACGCGGTGATCAAAGTACACCACAGCACGAACAAGTTGACACAAATCGTAACGCACGGGGCAATTCAATTCTAAACCGAGGCAGTCTGGACAGGATACTAGTGTTAATTCGGATAATCAACTTGGCCAGGTAAGTCACGTTAACTGTTCGTTTAACGGTATTTAATACAACTGAAGACGATCTCAAGTTGGTTGAGTTCTGTCACAAGTTGTCAGCGTTAAACATGGATGTCAGTCAGTGTCGGACCATATCATATGACCTACCTGTGTTGGTTCAAGTAAACAGTGATAAAAAGGGTGAATGTCGGAAAAGTAACTGTTTGCTATTTTGAAAACTTGCAGTGCGTCATCATTGTTATGTGTCCCATTGTCTCCAAGGCCCCTGTAGGCGGCCCAAGTTGCCTTAGGTTGTAATGGGATCGGTATGCGGACGAGCGGACGCCCTCTGTGGTCACCGAGTTGTGTACAGGTAGACATGGTGGTTTATAACGCCCAGTTGATTTACACTTATTCCCAGTGCTATATATCCAGGTCACATCCCATACTGTACTTTGATGGGCGTGGCTCGTCCCGGCCCCAATCTGGGGTCTCAGTGTCAACTTCCGGGTTGCCGGTTCTCGAGACGTTATCGATAACACGAGCGATATGTCATGGGACTGGGAAAATTATTATATTGCTGTTTGAAATGGAAGAGAAATAATTCACGATTTAACGTGTTTATCGATTTTTTCAAAACTAATAATTGTATCATAAAGCGATAAATTAACAGCTTCTATTCCTGACATGTGAAAAATACACTTTTTTTGGGTGTATTCTTGTTTAAACACGTTATTTGTATTTAAAATGAACGGCAACTCTACTGTTATTATATAACACAGAGAATGATGCATTTGTGTATTTCACTTATTAGAAAAAAAAATAACCTACATAAATCAAGTAAATAAAGACATCGTTAGGTCAACGTTGTTAAAAATTTCAAACTGAATACCAGTAATGGCGGTTGATACACTTATCACCTAGCTGGAGATATATGTATGACACCACCGGTTATGCCTGAGAGCGAGGTATGCAAGGTTATAGAGATTGAATCCACAACAGCCTTTGTGCTACTTATATTCATCTGACGACTGGGTCACATACTTGATCTCGCACTACACAAACTACCCAGCCAAGCTTGACACGACAGACCTGACGAGGTGGGAGTTGTCTCAACGGTAGGGAGGTGTGTGGCAACGGTTTTCACTGAGCACATTTCTCAAGGGGTGCGTTTGTTTTGTTGGTCCATTTTACCTCTATAGATATATTCATATATTGTATATTTTAGAAATGGGCGGTGTTTTTCTATTTTAAACCCTTACGCCATGTATATTCTTTACCAAGTTCACTCAGGTATAGAAGGATTGTGCTGGGATAAAGCAAGTGTATCGTGACAAGGTATAGTTTGGTGACTAAATCTGTTCATAATTCTATGGATCGATTACAACATGGCGCTGTCACGTGACAAGACAGTTATGTGGTAGGCGATACATCCAGACGTCAAAGTGGAGCAAATAGAATATTCCTCTTTGAACGATGTGCAGCGATGTAGGATGAGTTATCCTCTAAAGTATATGTACGCCACCAAGCGAAAGGTCTGTGTTCGATTCCCAACAAGGGTGGCCGCCCATTTACAGTATGTCGAGAGAAGTATCTAAATCGAATCCTAAATTTAAATGTTAAAAACAATGGCTTAAACGTTAAGCAAGACATGTGAATGTTTATTTCAATTATGTACTAGTGGTTTAAAGATGGTAATGCCCAATTAAACCGAAGGTCTGTTTTGGATGCGGTTGATTTGGAGATCTTTGTCTATTGGTGTAACCCAGTGACATTCGGCAAACACTCAACAACACTTAGCTGAGTGCTAGTGGTGTACTCGACGCTGAATAAAATGTTGACCAAAGGTGACGAAGTTATTTTTAAGTGTTGTTTCCACTTCCAGCAGTGTTCAACATTTAGTGTACTTCTACATGTATCCATATATGCGACCCCAAAGCCAAATCCCAATACGGGTCATACCTGCGTTGGTCGAGATATTTGTTTTCCTTGCGATAGAGATAGGGGATAATATATATGAGTGCCCATGTCATACTATGTTTACGCCACGAATGCCTGAATGGTTGTATTTTCCGAGCGAGAGCTCGATATTTGCTCGGTATAAAACCGGGTATTTATTACCGAAGTCGTCAAATTGAGGAAAATAAACCCAAATCTACTTTCAAGCATAGGGTGGCTACCCGCCGTCGCCGCATGTAGAACACAACGTCATGGTGACGTCATGAACAATGCTATGACGTCACGTTTCTTTGACGTTGCGTTATACGACATCGGTAATAAATAGAATATTTTATTACTCGCCCGTGGAAGATACTGCAGTGTAAACTTTTTACGGCGTTATTACACTAGTGTAATGCCGTTAGACGTATGACGTCATAATGGTTTACAGTTATGACGTCACAATGCTAAAAACCTCTGTCACAATGGTGTTAGACATTGCTTGACTCGCGGAAAGCTGAAAGTCAATACACTTCGTAGGCAGTTTTTATTAGTTTATGCTGGAGAGTAATAAACAGAATACTAAACTCGCTTCCGTGAAATACCATTTTTATTAAACTATTCGTGCCCATATCATACTATGTTGACGACACTCGTGTCTAAATATTGGTATATCACTCGCTCTCGCTCTGGAAATACCAACGTTTAGGCACTAGTGTCGTAAACATACTATGACATGGGCACTGATATAATATCTTCTATTTCACTAATAGGTATGTCAAAAGGGTTATCATATGCATAGTTTGTAGGATCCATTGGTTATTCTTTCAGATGGATGTTTTCTAAATGAAAGACGGGCTATGGGTAGCCGAATAGTTAATGAGTTCATTCGTGAAGTGGAAGGTTCGGGCTCGATTCCCCATTGGGGTATAATACGTGATGTCTTTCTACGTGAGACAGCTCGGATATTGCTAATCGGAGTAAAGCCGCACACGCCAACGCAAATATTTTTTGTAACATTTTGGGACAAAATTGTAGGTCAACAGATCACCATGGATATGAACTGTGCATATCAGTTTTAAAGGACATTAACTGTTCACTTATAAGTGAAATTGTGTTGGTTCGTTCAAGATATTTCCCTTTGTGGCTCAGACCAAAGCTACTACCTTGACTCACATGACGCGCTCAATCTCGAAGTATGTAAGTCTACAAAATACCTTTACAATGGCCTGTGAATTAAACGTTTCCCTGTGTAAAAAAAAATAAAATATATTAAAATGACAAACAGTGCCCTCATAAGCTGTAATGATACATTTTTTTGTTTTCAGGAAAACAAGATGGCGAACGCCCCGCGCCGGAAGAAGCTAGTGATTGTTGGTGACGGTGCTTGTGGAAAAACATGCCTACTTATTGTATTCAGCAAGGATCAGTTTCCTGAAGTCTACGTGCCAACAGTTTTCGAAAATTACGTAGCGGACATCGAAGTCGATAATAAACAGGTATGCGTCATTCACACATCTATTTTTATTCTTCACATTAGTGTGACGTCCAGGAAACATAACATCTCAGTGAATTATTTATCTCGAGTATTTAGCTCAGGTATCATCTCAGGCCGCGTCAGTATTAATGATTCAGTCATGAAAAATGGTTTAGTCCTGGGTACTGAGAGGACAGTAATGATGGAACTGAGGATATTCAACAGTCAGCATGAATACACAATACCACTTAGAAAGTTGTCAGATAACACGTGTTATATTTGGGATCACACCTTCTCATAAACAACAGATTCTTTTGTTGGGTTGAGTCCAAGCCAGGATTCGAACCCACACTCTCAAAAGTCAGGCCAGCACAGAAAAGGCACCCACTAAGCCAACACGGCTTCCACTTGTGGAACCAATATGACGAATATTTGAATACTTTGTGCCTAACTCATGTTCTCTTCTAAGACCCCTTTCACACCCATGGTTCCTCCAAACCCATCCCGTCAATCCATCTGGGGCTCCTTTCACGAAGCAACCTTTACTAAGGTTAACCTTAACTCCCATTCTTTAACATTGCACTAAGGTTACCTTAGTGACCTACGATCACCTTAGTGCTTTATAAAAGGAGGCCCAAGACTTCACTGAGCGAAATTTGATGTCTATATACAATGATTAGATATTGTCATAACATTCAGTTGTTTCTCCCTTGTAGGTTGAGCTGGCACTGTGGGATACTGCAGGCCAAGAAGACTACGATCGACTCCGACCGTTGTCCTACCCAGACACTGACGTCATCCTCATGTGCTTCTCCATCGACAACCCAGACAGCCTTGAGAACATCCCCGAGAAATGGAACCCGGAAGTGAAACACTTTTGCCCCAGCGTTCCCGTCATCCTCGTCGGCAACAAGAAAGACATCCGTAATGACGACCACATCAAGGCTGAGTTGGCGCGAAACAAACAGTTTCCGGTTAAAATGGAAGAGGGTCGTCAAATGGCCGAGCGAATAGGAGCAGAGGCCTATCTCGAATGTTCGGCTAAAACGAAGGATGGCGTGAGGGAAGTTTTCGAAACAGCAACACGTGCAGCACTAAAATCGAAGAAGAAGAAGAAGTCCAAGAAGACGAAATGTAAAATTCTGTGAAGGGAGAGACTTACCATATAACTGGACTTTTTGACGTGCTCGTTGGCCAATGCATCGTTTTGGCTTATTGTCGTGTGATGATTGAACTAACAGGACGCGTTAATGTACAAGAGCACTGAACAAGTATCGTCTCTATGCAAGCACGTTCGACTTTGTTATAAAGACGATGACGACGCATGGACTATGTTTATCAGTATTTATGTGTTGTTTTGATCACGTGTTATGGTCACGTGTTCCCTATTTGATGCACAAAGCAGCACGCCAGCAGGGGGCGCACGATGCATGTCCTGGCAGCGTTTATCTTCTTTGAAACTTTTACTACAACAAATCCTACCATATTTTACCAAACATGATTTGGAATGTTTCTTATTGCTCCAAACCATATGAACAGAATGTCCCCATAAACTACTGAATCCTCTTGAAGATGTTGCTGTTGTATCAAGGGCAGACAATCCAGAACACAGAGTACCCTAGTACCACGCCTTGCTCAGTGCAAACTTGCTGCTAACGTGTGATATTTCACAATAACGTGAAAAATGGCTACATTCCCTTGTGTGATGGTTGTTTTGCAGATATTTACATAACCAATTGAATCCTCTTAATGGGAGACATCCGGACGTGCCTTATTGCATCTGTAATTAGCGCCCTCTGTGAAACCAGACAGCGTCTAATCTCAGCAGCAATTAGCGTGATGTGTGAAATGAGACATTGTCTCGTTGCAGCTGTAATAAGCGCCCTCTGTGAAACCAGACGGGGTCTCGTTGCAGTTGTAATAAGCGCCCTCTGTGAAACCAGACGGGGTCTCGTTACAGCTGTAATAAGCGCCCTCTGTGAAACCAGACCCGGTCTCGTTAAAGCTGTAATAAGCGCCCTCTGTGAAACCAGACGGGGTCTCGTTGCAGCTGTAATAAGCGCCTTCTGTGTAGATGAAACAAGAACCAGATGGTCGCAGTGATCCCTGGCCTTACCTGTATATAAAACATCTGATTCTAAACGAGTCCACGTTAGTTACTATTTCCGGTATCAATCTCTACGTTTTGCTGTCTTGGGCCAAAGGAGACAATGTTGATATAGATATTACTTTGTCAGGCATTGTCTTCCTTTAAATGAACAGCACCTCTAAACAGGGATTGCAGATAATGTTTACTGAAAATAGGATGTTAGATTATATATTCATTCACCAGGCAACATTAAGGTGGTCTGTGAACCAAAGTGATCTGTGATAACGGCTTCTAACCGCCACAATGTTGTTGATAACCTACATGTTGTGGATATGACGATGTGTGCGTTAAACGTATATGGAATAACAGCATGTACAGTGCCTTTTGCAAAGAGCACATCGATTATCTCCCTTGAATGGCAAGTTTTATGTGCACTGTCCATCGAGACGTTTTGTAACTTACACAAACAGAATGGCAGGTAGCTACAGACTGATAGAATATTGTCTAGTCCCTAGGTAGTCATTGATATTTAAATCAATATGTAAATACATTGTTGAAATTGATTAAATTTAGTGTAACGCCAGAATGTGTATATACATGAGATGGATTCATTCAATGCCTTGAAGTATTCGTTCCGTGTTTATCAACTGCATGGTGTATTGCTGTCATATTCGAGTGTCTATTGTGATTCTACCATATATTCGGATATGCCCTTTTTGTTTCACTTATTATGTTTTGGATTTCAATTGTGATTAAAATCAAATGTTTTTCATTATGGTTTCACTTTTTGTGGGTGCACGGTTGTGTGAATATGTTTAATCTGCAGGGATGAAGTCAACAGTATAAGTCGAGGGTGGAACATGGACGCAACCATAACCTTTTACCATGTGCATTAATAAGACGAATCGAAATAGACTACGCTTATAACGAACTCAAAGAAGGTCGCTAATTGTAGTTCGTTACAACCAGTGTGCGAAATAGACACTGGCCCGCTAGCCTGTTACTAGTAAAAATCCAGTTGGGCCAGTAAACCTCCATAGTCACTGGCCCGACTGGCTAGTGAATTTTCACGGGGTCATTTTGTAAATATATCACTCTCTCCGACTTGTTAAGTTATGATACACTTTTAAATCATGCAAGATTATGGCCTGATAAAAATGATCGTCAAATTAGCAGCCTAATGATGAAACCCGTGTCTACATTCAAATTTCGGACTAGTGGATTATTTTGTTGGCTAGTAACTTTCAGACAGTTTTTAAGTGTCTTATATAGACAATATCCAAGAGAATGGAACTATGTACACATATCGGAATGGAACTATATATTGTCCGACATGTATAAACGTGGATGATGCTCACATCCATCCTACAGGAATATGAATGTTGAGGAGCAAGCCGAGGCATGAGTCAATTTAAATTTTCATTTTGTGCAAGGGAGGTAATTCTGTCTTAACTCGTGTCACCTCTATCCAAGAATGACCGACAATGTGTGTCCTGCACAGGCAAACTGTGGCGCAAATAGGGTTGCGCAACAGAGAGAAAAATGACCAGTCTTCGTATATGCGAGCGAAGCGAGCAAAGGTTGCCGACGTACTTCCCTCGCTTCGGTTGTAAAAATATTTTTAATGTCAAAATAATATATCGCTTCGTTCGTAAGACTGGTCATTTCTCTCTCTGCCGCGCAACCCTATTTGCGCTACAGTTTGCCTGTGCCTGTAGCAAAGAATAGGTAAATGTTGTTTATAATCTACATCAGTAGGCCTAATATCACCCACTTACTACTACGAGGATAAATCCTCACTCGTTATCCAGTATTGTTATCAGTTCACGTTATGAAAGTAAGACGTATCATTATTAGGTTGACTGTATTCTGCTTGATTGATGTACTTTACAAAACGTTATGCAGAAGACACGTTTCCTCTAAATGTCTTGAATGGAAGTAAATATGATATTTGAAGTTTTATACCTAGTCATGCTTTGAGTGAAACTATGAGAGGGCGACCGCAAGTGAGAGGGAGGTATGAATGAATGAATGAATGAACATTGCGTTACGCCGCCTCAGTAAATTCCCATCTATTTGCAACCGGGAGTGAGGCAGATAGTGAGCCTGTACATCGTTTCCCAGATAAGACACTTCGCTGTGATAAGTTCAATCTATAACAACAGTGACAGACTTGTTGCTTCCTCGGAACTGCAGCTGCCACTGTGGTATATCAGTTCCCTATGATCACAGCTGTCACCTGTCACTACACCGGTTGAAATCTGACTGGCGGCGTGTTGTAAATAGCGTTTCCAATCTCCAGTGAGATATCATTAATGGCCAGGCGAATCCTATTGGAAATACATAGTACTATTCATGGCCTTCGCAATATTCTGCCAACACGAGGGTATCGCCAAGCTTTTGTTTTAGCATTCTAGCTGCTCTATATAAAATGGTGTTTAGTTTGATTAAGATCTGCCATTCGTCCTTTTGGGATGATGTTTGGGTAGCCTACTTGTTGGCACGTGTGGTGTGTGGTGTGTGGTGTGTGGTGTGTGGCGTGTGGCGTGTGGCGAGTAACCGTGTTCGATTCCTCATATGGGTAATAAAGGATAACTCACTTTGTGGTGTTGCCCTGAGAGGAGGCTGATGATATATCTAGGTTGAACCAAGCTAGGTTGAACTCTCTCGCTCATACGCTCAGACACTCACTCACTCACGGAATATATTTAAACAATGTTTCTATCCGTACTAAATACAGATCCGTTCAGAATATTAAAAAGCACCAAACCTACCCTCACTTAATATGCCACTGACACAGTATTTCTTTGATGTTTTCATTTTTCCATATTTCATACATCCAATTTCATGTTTAACATGTCATAAGATTTTGAGGAAAATAGAGAGGTGAGAGACAGATTAAAGACGTAAAAATATATTTCTGATATTTTGCTGACCAATCAGAATCATAAATCAGTCACAACAAGCTAGGGCACTCACTGTTTCAATAACTTCATGGCTTAAGTGGTACGAAATAACATCCGCTAACTAACTGTTGCTGGTCGACGGGTATGTGAGATCACACCTGTGTAGTTTATACCTGCTTATGTTCGCCATTCTGGATGTAGCTTGTTATTTGTGTGATAACATCTGAACTGGGGATGTACACACATATTGCACTGGGCTATGCGTGAATGAAATCTGAACTGGGCAGACAGAAATTATTCATACAAAATCATACATCGTGCTTGTACTGACTACAAAAACTATACATAAATATGTGCACCAATATTTAAACATTGATTTTAGTTTAGTATCTTAAACAATCTACGCGCATACAGAAATTTTGTTTACAACGCAAGATATATATCAAGGTGAAAAACAACCGCGTGAACGCATCAAACATTGGGCGGATAAATGCAATATTTTACGGACGCCTCAGGCATCCTATGTTCCCGCTGTGTACAAGTGTCCTACACTCCCCAAAGTATTACTTTCAAACTGCCGGTGTAACCTTGATGTGATGTGAGATGAAAGAGGCGTGTGGTTTTCCAGGTACAGATTATATTGTCAAAACACCTTCCATATCATGCTGGATTAGTCTACAGCCAAACTAGATGATTCCAGCTGACAATTAATTCCAAAAGCATACATAGCAGCATAGACAGAAATAAACTTTACACCTACTTACTTTTAAAACATTGTTTAGAAGTTCCACTGCAATCATATCTACAGAATCTCAACAAATAATACAAAATTGTTTAACAGTAAATTATACTTACATATAACAACGGTATAGCAAATACTGCACTTATATTCACACTGTACCGCTATCACTTCATATATTTCTGTAAAACACTGCCTTCATTGCACTTATATCGGTACAATATCGCCACCACTGCACTTACATCTCTACAATATCGCCATCACTGCACTTACATCTGTACAATATTGCCATCACTGTACTTACACCTGCACAACATTGCCATCACTGCACTTACATCTGTACACCATCGCCATCACTGTACTT